TAAGAAAAAAAATATTTTATGTGCTAAGATTTCTCCTGGAATTTTTTTAAGTAGTGAAAGTCTGGAACAATGTATATTTTAAAAGCGTAAGTTGGTAAGGACGTGTGACACACCCATTAACAGTATATTTAAAAAACAAAACAAAACAAAACACTGATCTGCCTGAAGACTGGGAACACGTTTCAGTGTAAATAACTTGCTTCTCAATTCCTTGGAAGATGTGTTGCAGGCGGTGTCTTCCGCGACCATTGCTGAGGTCGCGCGTGGCAATAAGGACGTTCAGGACGCGATGGCTCAGGAAGGAGCCATTCGGCCCCTGGTCGCTCTCTTTATCGGAAAACAGCTGAGCGTCCAGGTGAAGGGCGCCATGGCTGTGGAGGCGCTGGCGAGTTACAACCCCCCCATACAGAAGGCCTTTCTGGAGCATCAGTTAACTGGCTATCTTTTAAAGCTCCTAAAGGTATGCATTGTATCATCACTGGCCTTTTCTGTTGTTCCGTTTTTCCCTCAGATGACTTACTGCAGTTTGAATTTTTAGGGACTAGGAACCAAAACAAATTCTGGAATGAACGTTTTAGACAACGTGCATCCCTCAAGTGGTCAACAAGTGTTCACTGAGTTAAATGCATTTTTATTCTTTCTTTCTTTATTTTGAACAGGATATATTTATTAGGGGAAAAAAGCGCCTGTCCGAGAGAGGGACAGGAGGGGGGCCCGAGCGGGTTGTCCCCTAAATGCATTTGTAAAACAGGCATTTCAGATCGATATTAAGGAGCAAGGAGCTGTAGCGCTTTGGGCCTTGGCAGGGCAGACGCTGAAGCAACAGAAGTACATGGCAGAGCAGATTGGATACAACTTTATCATAAACATGCTTTTGTCACCGTCTGCCAAAATGCAGTATGTTGGTACGTTGCTTTCTATACAAAAATCTTCACAATGTAGCAGGGCAAGGCGCTTTCTACTACCTCTTCCTCTTTTCTTTCTTAAATCAGGAGGCGAGGCAGTCATAGCTCTAAGCAAGGACAGCAGGATGCACCAGAATCAAATATGTGAAGGCAACGGAATTGCACCATTGGTTCGCTTGCTCAGAATTAATAAGATAGCCGAAGGCACACTTCTCAGCGTCGTCAGAGCCGTGGGGTCCATTTGCATCGGTTTGTACACTTATTCTCAACTTTTTTTTTAAAAATTCACAAAGATTTTTTTCTATTTGGCTGGCTCAGGATGCCTTAAGGGCAGGTCTGATAAAGCATGAGGATATGGGGATTGAACCACAGAATTCTGAGCCTGACTGCTTTGCTTAAGCAGGCACTTAAAGCAACTGAGCTAATGGGCAGACCCCTTATTCACAACTTAAAAAAAAAAAAAAATTAAAGTCTTTTTTATTTATATATGTATTTGGTACAAGGTATCACTAAACAGCTCAGACTCACTGATCCTCCTGTCTCAGCCTCCCCAGTGCTGGAATTATAGGGTGTGCACCACCATGCCGGGGTTCTGGTTTGGTGGCCAGCTTGGGTGTGCCCGGCGTGGGGCCGGCAGAGCATGTGGTACCAGGATGGAACTCAGGTCCTTCTACTTATGAGGCAGGCATTTAGGCATTTAGATCCCTGAACTATCTCCCCTGATCTCAACTTCTTAAATATCTGTAAGAGAAAGAAAGGTCATAGGTAGGGAAATAGAAACTAATCTCTTCTCTATCCCCACCACCAGAATGCTTGACCATATTTATTTATTTATTTATTTATTT